CTGGAGCCCCACGGAGCCGGGGGGCTGATGGACTCTGGGGGGGCTGAGGGTGCCGCCTGTACCGGCCGCCTGTAGCCCACACGGATCCGTGGGGCTGACGGCGCCACCTGTACCGGCCGCCTGTAGCCCGCATGGATCCATGGGGCTGATGGCGCCGCCTGTACCGGCCGCCTGTAGCCCGCATGGATCCATGGGGCTGATGGCGCCGCCTGTACCGGGTGCCTGTAGCCTGCACGGATCCGTGGGGCTGACGGTGCCGCCTGTACCGGCCGCCTGTAGCCTGCGTGGATCCGTGGGGCTGACGGCGCCGCCTGTACCGGGTGCCTGTAGCCCACACGGATCCGTGGGGCTGATGGCGCTGCCTGTACCGGCCGCCTGTAGCCCACACGGATCCGGAGGGGCTGAGGGCGCCGCCTGTACCGGGTGCCTGTAGCCCACACGGATCCGTGGGGCTGACGGCGCCGCCTGTCCCGGCCGCCTGTAGCCCACATGGATCCATGGGGCTGACGGTGCCGCCTGTACCGGCCGCCTGTAGCCCACACGGATCCGTGGGGCTGACGGCGCCGCCTGTACCGGCCGCCTGTAGCCTGCATGGATCCATGGGGCTGACGGCGCCGCCTGTACTGGCCGCCTGTAGCCCACACGGATCCATGGGGCTGACGGCGCCGCCTGTACCGGCCGCCTGTAGCCCACACGGATCCGTGGGGCTGAGGGTGCCGCCTGTCCCGGCCGCCTGTAGCCCACACGGATCCGAGGGGCTGACGGCGCCGCCTGTAGCCCGCAGGGCCGCTGGGCCAGGGGGGCCGGGGGGGGGTTGCCCCCCCGCCCCCGGTGCCCCCCCGCCCGTTCCCAGCCCCTTTTGCACTATATTTATAGGGGCGGTGGGTGCCGCCCCGCCGCCTGTGTCGCTGTCACGGGGTGCGGGGGGTCACAGCACCCCGACGGTGACACGGGCCCACATCCTCCACATCCTGCTCCGTACAGCGGGGACACGGCGGGGGGGCAATAAAGCCATCGGCTCTGCCACTTGCGGCCCCTCCTGGGGGGCGTTTTTGGGTCAAAACCAGGCGTTT